CGTGTCCCCCCCCATGTCCCCCCGCTCCCGGTGAGACGGCAGAACGAGTTGGGGGTGCCAGGCAAAGGGTGCGGGGCATGGAGCCCCCTCCTCCACCCAAAGCAGGGAGTGAAGCCCCCCAGCACCCCTTCTCCACCTGGAGATGCGATGGTGCCGGCCTGTCCCACCCCCTGTGGCCGCTGCTGGGTGTCCCCAAACCTGGCAGGGCCTTTTCCCCATCCCCACTTTGCCCAGCTTGCCCGGTGCAGATTTGGGGAACCCGCTCCAGGGCAAGAAACCCCAAAAGGAAAGTGGTGTCTCCTCCCCAAAACCATCCAAGGTATCTTCTCCCCCAAGCCCTCCGAGGCTTCTTCTCCCCAAAACTCTCTGAGACATCTCCCTTCCAAAGCCCTCTGGAGCATCTTCTCTTCAAAACCCTAGGAAGCACTTTCTCCCCAAAGCCTTGCAAGGCATCTTCTCCCCAAAACCCTCAGAGGCATCTCTCTTCCAAAACCCTCTGGAGCATCTTCTCCTCAAAACCCTAGGAAGCGCTTTCTCCCCAAAGCCTTGCAAGGCATCTTCTCCCCAAAACCCTCAGAGGCATCTCTCTTCCAAAACCCTCTGGAGCATCTTCTCCTCAAAACCCTAGGAAGCGCTTTCTCCCCAAAACCTTGCAAGGCATCTCCTCTCCCGAGCTCTCTAAAGCATTTAGTCCAAAAATCCCTCTGAAGAACCTTCTCCTCAAAACCCTAGGAAGCACCTTCTCCCCAAAACCCTCCAAAGCATCTTGTCCCCAAAACCTTCCAAGGCATCTCCTCTCCCGAGCTCTCTGAACCATTTAGTCCAAAAATCCCTCTGAAGAACCTTCTCCCAAATCCCTCTGAAGCACCTTCTTCCCAAAATCTTCCTAAACATCTTCTCCCCAAAACTTTCTAAAGCATCATCTCCCCAGAACCCTCTGGAGCATCTTTTCCCCAGAACCCTCAGAGTTTGCAGCATCCCCGTAGGACATGGGACCCCAGGTTCAAATCCCTGCCCAGATCCCAGTCCGTAACTGGGAGCAAAGGGCTCAGCCCCTCTCCTCCCCCAGGGAACCAGGCCCAGCCCGAGGGGAGGGCTGTTACTCATTATCCTTCCAGCCTGGGGAGAAGCTCCTTCTTGACCCACAGGGCAGGAACCAGCTCTACCAGCCTTGCTCCCACCAGGATCCAACCTCGTCCCTGGTGCCAGAGCAGCCGGAGTCCCGCTCCCTCCAGCAGCATCTTCCCAGAAAGGCCGGTGGGATGGTAAGGAAAAAGCCAAGGGGGGAATTTCCCAGTTTTTGGGGTGGCTTGGAGGGGTTTTGGAGGTGGTCCAGGTGGAGCCACGCGCCGAGCTCGGGGCTGTGGGGACGATGAGGTTTTGCTCCTGCCTTTGAGATGGATTTAATAACCAACAGCACCACGATAGGAAAGGTGCCTCGGGAAGGAGAGAGGGAAGGAAAAGCAATATATTCCCTGGATAAATCAGGTCAGGCTCTGGCTGCTGAGTAGGACTCCTTCTCTTGCCTCAGTTTTCTCTTTTTGTGGTTTTTTTTCCTATTTTTCCTGTCTCTCAGCCCAGCTCCTGGTTTTAACTTGGATGGGGGGTGTTTTGAGGCACCCTCGGCTCCACCTCCCCCTCGCCCCCAGGGCTCTTAGCTGCTGTGGGGCTACCTACAATAGCTTCCTGATGGCCCTGGCTCCGGGCAGTGTCACCTCCCTGGGCTGGGTGATGGGCCACCATCACTCCACCTTCAAATCAGCCCTGGGGGAGGCTGAGGTGGTGGGGGAGGAGGTGGCAGGGGGGAGGGATGCTGCAGACACCCCTGGGAGAGCCCCTTCTGCGCCCCTGGAGATGTTTGGCCAGTTTTGGTGTTTGCTTTGGGGGTTTGCTCTTGGGATGGGAGTTGAACTCATCAGGGAGGGTGTGAAGGAAGAAGGAGGGGAGGGCAGAGGAATGAGCCCGGGTGGGGAGGTGGGAGGCAGAGGGTCTGCTGATGGAGACTTGGATGGGGGGTGTTTTGAGGCACCCTCGGCTCCACCTCCCCCTCGCCCCCAGGGCTCCCTGCTGCTATGGGGCTATCTACAATAGCTTCCTGATGGCCCTGGCTCCGGGCAGTGTCACCTCCCTGGGCTGGGTGATGGGCCACCATCACTCCACCTTCAAATCAGCCCTGGGGGAGGCTGAGGTGGTGGGGGAGGAGGTGGCGGGGGGGAGGGATGCTGCGGACACCCCTGGGAGAGCCCCTTCTGTGCCCCTGGAGATGTTTGGCCAGTTTTGGTGTTTGCTTTGGGGGTTTGCTCTTGGGATGGGAGTTGAACTCATCAGGAAGGAAGAAGGAGGGGAGGGCAGAGGAGGGAGTCCGGGTGGGAAGGTGGGAGGCAGAGGGTCTGCTGATGGAGAGGAGGCTGGAGGAGAAGGAAGGAAGGAGAAGGAGAAAGAGACAGCAGATGGTGCCAAGGGACCAAATACCCCCCTGCAGCCAAGGTGGGACACGAGTTGGTGGGACAACCTTGTTGGATGCAGTCCTGCCTGGGGCAGAGGGAGTCATCATCTTCTCTGGGGCTTGGTGCCCAACCCCATGTCACGTCCTTCCTTGCCCAAGCCCCAACTGGACTGGCCACGGCAAAACTGTAACCCCCCCACCCCAGCCAGGACCCATCCAAACCACCCTGGGGTAACCCCTGTCTGGAGATGGGACGGGGCTGGGTGTTTTGGCTGTACCCCTTCATGCCAGGCCTGGGGACAGTGTCTCAGGGAGGATGGATGAGGTTGGAGGGAGGTCCTGACCTGGTGCCAGTCAGCCCCTCACAGTGAGACCATCTGGGGACACTGGAACATGAAGCCACAAGGTGGGTATGGGTGCTGAGACCAGGTCTGAGAGGAGACCAGAGCAGAAGAGGCCAAGCAAACCAAGAGGACCTCAGGACACGTCATGGTGTAGGAGGAAGGGATGGGCTGTGCTCAAGGGAGATGGTTTAAACACACTGGGACATCCTTCTGCTTCTCCCCACTGACTGCAAAGAAGCCCAGGCCGACTTGCTCACATGGGGACATCTCCAGTCTAAAGACTCAAGGGGTTGAGTTGAACCTCTGTGTCTATAAATAATTAATCCTTTTGGAAACCTGGCTCTGGTACAGTGGCCTTGGCAGATGAAGGACGGGATATACGGAAAAGCAAAGGAGGCACTTGCTTTTGCTTTCTTCTACTTTGGCTCTTGTTTTTGGTCCAGGTTCACGGCCAAGGAGGAGTCAAGTTCCAGAACTGGGCCAAGACCTATGGCTCCTCTCCAGAGCTGTACTTCCAGCCCACCTCGGTGGAGGAGATCCGGGAGGTAAGAGAGATGCTCCCAGGCAACAATGTGTTAGAAATGAGGAGGAAAGGCCAGGAAGGGCTGTTGATGCTCCATCATGTTCAGGTTCGGTCACAGATGGTGACAGCATGAGTCCTTCCCTCAGCCCCAGGAGATGGCCCATCCTACTGAACTGCAGATGTGCTCCAGCAGATGCATCAAACACCTAAAAGATGCAGAAAACCATCATGCTTGGCCCCAGCTGGACTCTGTTCCTTGGGCATCAGCATCTGGCATCCTTCTGGAGTCCTCTGCTTGCTCCAGCTGCCGTGCTGAGGGGTGGGAGCCCTGTGTCACTTCTGTCACCCCAGAGATGCCTCTGTCACCCTAGGGTGTCTCAGGTGTGCAGAGAATGGTTTGGGTTGCAAGGAACCTTTAAAGGTCATCTAGTCCAACACGCAGAGAATGGTTTGGGTTGGAAGGAACCTTTAAAGGTCATCTAGTCCAACAGCCAAGGATGGCCCCCAAGGGCTGTCTTAGGGGTGTCTGGGCTCCAGGGGTGGCTTTAACCCCAGATGGTGAGTTGTCCAAGTGAAGGTGGTGTCAGTGATGGGTGAGATTTTAGCTTGGGATGTCTCACAGTTCCTCTGACACCTCTCTTAGCTCCCGGCTTTGAGGGAGGTGTTGGATGCTCAGGGTTTGCCTGTTGTCTCTGCAGATCCTGGATATGGCCAGGCAGCGGGACAAGAGGGTGAAGGTGGTGGGGGGTGGCCACTCTCCTTCGGACATCGCCTGCACTGATGACTTCATGATCCAGATGGGGAAGATGAACAGGGTCCTCAAGGTGAGACCAGCACCTGGGAGGTGGCTCTGAAACGTGGTGGCACCTCTGTTTGTGTGGCCAACAAGGGCAAGACCAACACTGCCATACCCAGGGTGAGAGGTGGAAGGATGGAGAGGCTTTCTCCTTTTCACAGCCAGGAATTTTCCCAAACCAGATCCTGAAATGGTGTGGAATGAGCATTTTCCTGGTGTAAAAGCATCCCTGGTGCAAAGGAAGTGTGTGGAGCAGCTATAAAAATGCAAAGAGGTGGTGTCTTCCCACCGTCTGTTCAGCAAGGGCTTAACCTTGGCACAATGTCCTCATCACAGCATGGTCTCCTGGATGGGAAGGAGGTTCCTGGCAGGATGAGCTTCTGTGGCTCGCTAGATGTGGGCTTGCAAAGGTCTCTGAGAGGCAGCAGCCTGGCAAAATCCTGGCTGGATCCTCGTGGTCCATGGTGTCCTGGTGCCCATGGCTCTTGTGTCAGGTGGGAAATGTCCCCGTGGGAGATTGCTCCATTTGATGACACTGGGAAGGAACCAGCTATTCCTGGGAGGGCTGGATGGATGGTTACTAGTTATCAACAGCAGTAATTAATTAAGGAAAGGCTCCCTCCCTGACAGCTCTGTCCATCAGAAGTGGGATGAGTAGCTCCCAATGGGAATGAGCTGTCCTTCCACCAGGAGCAAGGCAGGAGGGCAGAGCAGAGATGTTTGCTGGGGGGTGTCCCAAGACCTGTGAGAGGTTATGGGAGAGGCTACAACCCCCCTGAGACTGGGGAGAGCAGAGGAGAGTGGGGTCTGGAGCAGGGGCAAGAACCAGTGCACCGTTGGGTTGGATGAGGTTTGGGTTGGGTGAAGGTCTGAGAGAGGTGGGAGCTCAGGGTGCAGCAAGTCCCTCATGGTCTATGGCTCTCCTGTATGGACATTATCAACCCCTTGGTAGAGCAGAGGTGTTTCCCAAGTTGTGTTTCTCCTCATGAGCTGTGTGACCTTCCCCTCTCCCATCCCATCCTTTGCAGGTGGACAAGGAGAAGCAGCAAGTGACGGTGGAAGGTGGGATTTTCCTCTCAGACCTGAACGTTGAGTTGAGCAAGCACGGGCTGGCCCTGGCCAAGTGAGTGGGACACGTGCATGGGGCTGTCCGTGGGACTGCAAGAGGGGAGATGGAGCTGAGCTGTGGGGAAGAACTTGTTTGGTGGGAGGGTGGTGAGAGCCTGGCCCAGGTTGGCCCGAGAAGCTGTGGCTGCCCCATCCCTGGAGGGGTTGAAGGGCAGGTTGGAGGGGGCTTGGAGCAACCTGGTGTGGTGGGAGGTGTCCCTGCCCAGGGCAGGGGGTGGCACTGGTTGGTTTTTAAGGTCCCTTCCAACCCAACCCAGTCTGATTCTATGGTGGCTTGTGCTCATCAGCTGCCTCTTCCTCCCCACGGACTGTAGCAGCATCCTGATAGATACGTCCCATGGAGACATGCACACAAGGCCAATAAACCCACCCATCCCACATGCTTGGGTCCTGACCAGCCCCTTTGTCTGCTCCACAGCTTAGGAGCTGTTTCTGAGGTGGCAGCGGCCGGTGTCATTGGGACAGGGACACACAACACCGGGATCAAGCATGGCATCCTCCCCACCCAGGTGAGACACGAGTCAGGAGTGTGTTGATGCCCAGACACCAGCATCTTGAGGGCTTCACGGGAGATGTCCCACCACCTTGTTTGGGTCTGGTGTGCCCAGCCCTGGGGTAAGGAAGGAGCACGCTGTACTCAGCAAACAGGAGAGGTCCTGTCCCCCAGGATGGGGCTGCTATGGTGGACCCCCAAATCACCCATGCGCAGTGGGACCTCCTAACCTCACAACCAAAACATAATCCAGCCCAAAACTTCTCTGTCCTTGATCTTTATGGACTTACAATCAACGAATGAGCTCTGTACCAAAGGGAAAGCTGTTCTTTTATTGGAGTCCTCCAAACCCAAGTATCTGCAGTGCCCAGGTCTATTTTTAACTAGACGATTGTGAAAATCCTCCACTTGTAGCTCAAATGGTGATTCCACCCATGGTGGTGAAGAAGTGATCTGGGGGAGTTTTGCTTCTTTATTTGGTGGCTTTTCCTAGAGAGAGAAGGATCCTTTCACGTCACTGCATCAAAGGTGGCAGGAGAGGGGCTGGTGGAGCCAAGCTCAGCAGAAAGCACCCTGTGATGCTGGTTGTGGCACAGCGGTCTCCCTCCTTAGCCCCCAGCCCTTTGGGGGTGGCCGAAGGGCAGGGTCTTGGTGTGGAGATGGGACATGTTGAACCCTCTCTGAAGCTTTAATTCCCTCTTGGCAGGTCGTAGCGCTCACGCTGCTGACAGCCTCGGGGGAGATCCTGGAGTGCTCCGAGTCCATCAACGCGGACATCTTCCAAGCTGCCCGCCTGCATCTCGGCTGCCTGGGCGTCGTGCTCACCGTCACCTTCCAATGCGTGCCCCAGTTCCACCTGCACGAGGTGGCCTTCCCCTCCACCCTCACGGAGGTATGACATGGATAATGCATTCAAAGTCTCCTTGGGGGTAAACAAAGTTCTTGGTGAGGTGACGTGGTCAGGGGGAGACTGGAAGTGGTTAAGGTCTGGTGGAAAATCCCGCAACTGTGTGTAGGTTGCACTCCTTGACCATCTTTGTGGTGTCCTTTAAGGTGGAAACTTCTCTAGGGTGACAAAGGAGAAGGAAGAAAACTCATGTTTCTCAGCAAATGCCATTTTGACTTCCCCGTGGGTGGGAAGAGCATCTTCTGGGATGAGAGAGGTATGGGTGGTAGGGTGGGGAGGTAGTCTTGAGTGCCACCTCTGTGCCATGTAGGGCAGGTGGGTGGTCGGGAGACAGATCACCCAACACCTCTGCTCCCTTCAGCCCGGCATTGGCAGGCGCCGGCAGGGCAGCAGAGATCTGGTGACAGGAGGCACCCGTGACAAAGCCCTAATGCAGATTTAATATTCCAGCTGGAGAACATTGCTCTTGCTGGAGATGCTGGAAGTGCTGGTGAGGCTGGATGCAGCAAGAAAAACCTTTTTCCCAGCAAACGGCTTTTTTTATTTTTTTTTTTTTCCAGCGACAGATGGGCCACTTAAAATAGTGCGTGAGCATCTTGTGCTCTTGATAATAACTTGGTCCTTTCTTCTGTGTCAGGTCAGGGAATTTTTTGGGGATGGGTCTTTCCATCTCCCGGTGTGAAAGTTGGGTTTAACTCTTGCATTTAAATATGGGGAGGGACTCTGGCTGAGGGAGGGGAGCCCTAGGAGGAGGGGGAAGGGTTGGACCCTGCAAGAGGGGAGATGGAGCTGAGCTGTGGGGAAGAACTTGTTTGGTGGGAGGGTGGTGAGAGCCTGGCCCAGGTTGGCCCGAGAAGCTGTGGCTGCCCCATCCCTGGAGGGGTTCAAGGGCAGGTTGGAGGGGGCTTGGAGCAACCTGGTGTGGTGGGAGGTGTCCCTGCTTGTGGCAGGGGTGGGACTGGATGGTCTTTAAAGGTCCCTTCCCACCCAAACCAGTCTGTGACTCTTTGTTTGGGAGCTGAACTTGGGACAAACTGTGCTGGGGAGGAGGAGGAGGGTGATGGGTGACACATTTCAAGGGCCAGATGGAGCAAATCCCTTATCAGGGTCCAACTCCAGAGCTGCATTTGGGTGGTGTGATGGAGAACTCCCGTTAAACCTATCGTTACATTGCTACTGGCCTTCTCTGTGTCCTTCTTATCAGAGGTCCCCATCACCCAGAGTGATGTGCATTGCACTAGTGACTGGTCCTTCTGGGACATCCCCAAGGCAGGTGACTTTCTGAGGAGGGTTCCTGACCTGCTCCTTCATAGATCAGGATCTTGCATGACTCTGAAGACCTCGCATGCAATCTCCTCCTCGGCAAGTTCTGCTGTCCCACCATCCGGCCTCTCCCTGTTGTCCCCTCTTTGTGGCCATGTGGCCTCCTAAAGACCACATCTTGCCTGGGGCTCATGAAAGGGGACTTTATTGGCCGTGGAGAGCATGAGAAGTTTAGGTCCTTGTTCAGTACAGGGCTGAGACACTGGGGACGGTGTCCTGGGATGCTCAGTGCTGGAGGGGGGTTGCCTCCAGCTGAGCTTTCCATCTGCAGCAGGGACCAGGCTGAAACAGGCTGATTTCTCTTGAAAGAGGCATGAAATGTCCCTTTTTGGGGCATTGCAACTCCTGGGCTTTACGAGCTTGGGCCTCCACTGTGGCCAGTGGTGGGTGTGATCCCTCAGAAAGCCTTTTGAAGGCCCCATGGGCATTTCTACAGAGCGGCTGGAAGGAATTCTTTCTCCTGGGAACTCATCAAAACCCACTTTCCCTGTCTCTGCCGTTACATAAACTCCTTTTAACTGCGGGATGCATCTCCTTGGAGCCCTCCCACCCTCCTGGTGCTGGGAAGTGGGATGGAGCGACCTGGTCCATCTGATGCTGGGCCCCTCCATGGCTGAGACAGCCTGGTGTCAGGACGTGGACCCACTGCCTTGAGCTGAGCCGTCATCCAGCTTGTCCCAGGTCTCTGGCTCCAGATTGTTGCTGGAGGCTGCAGCGATGGAGAAGCCTATCGAGAAGGGGCCACCTCCAAGACAAAAGACCCAGTGGCCGCCTAGATGCTGCTCGGACTCACCATGTTGGCTGGAAGAAGTTAAATTTCTGGATGGGGAAACCGAGGCACAAAGTCCATTGGGAGGAAGGAACCTCTCCAGGAGCTTGGATCTGCTTCAACCACACATTGGCTTCATCCTCCTGTGGTCTGAACATCTCCCTCTGGTCCATCCTCAGCTGTTGTCTCATCTGAGCCCCACAGGTCCAGTTCTCACCCCCAGCTCATGACAGCACAAGCCTTCGTTCAGTCGGTCTCATGAAAAATAAATAGCCCTTGGACAAAACCAGCCAAATTTGGGGCAGGATTGATCAGAGCTGCAGCCCCAGCGAAGCTCCGTGAAGCACCAGCCTTAATTTTTCCAGGACTGAATAATTCAGTGCCCCGTTGGGGTGGCTCGAACGCCGCCACCGCTGTGAGTTTAATGTGCTTTCACAGTGTCTTCTTCATGAGCCCTGATCCAAAGCAACCCGGGGGTCCCCGACCCGTGCCATGGGTGGCTCGGACTGGCCAGGGAGGTGGACAGAGAGGTCCATCCTTGTTACCCAAGTCCATTAGTGTGTCACCCTGCCTCCTGTCACCCCCCCCAACTAAGAGCACCTCCACCGAAGCTGGAGCATTTCAGGGTCTTATTTCTCCTGGGAGGTGGGAAGAGAAGACCGAGGACTAAGGGAACCCTGCTGAGATGTTTCTCCAGCCTGTGGTGAGTTCCTCACCGGTGGTCCCAGTCGCAGAGGTGATGGGTTTCGTGTTTAACAGCTCAGGAGTGTCTTTTGCCCATGAACTGCTCATTTGCTTCCTGAGCTGTGACATCCCTGGGGTCCTGCAGCTGGGACTTCCCCTCTTTAAATCCTTTTAAATATGTTTAAAATGGGTTTAAATGTGGTGGGGAACCTGCCAGCTCCTTACGGCTTGGTCCTCACCCGCCCTGCCCGACCGCTGGGACCTCCACCGCGTCCTCTAGCACCGGTGGCCAGGCTAAGTGCAGTTTCACACCTCCTAATCTGCTTTTTTAGGCGGAAAAACGAAGCTCCCCGTGCAGGATAAACCCCGAGCAGGGCAGGGAACCCCCCCGAGCTCTGCCCTGCCCGGGTTATGCCCCCCCTTCACCCCTCTCAGCCCATCTCTCCCCCTCCCTGGGGGCTGTCGGGAGGGTGAAACGGGGAATGTTCTCTGTAAATATTAATGCCATTATCAATTCTCCATCCTGGCTGCTCCCCAGATCCCTGGTTTTCGTGCCGAGCAGCCCAGCGAGGCGGAAGAGAATAATGGCCAGGGAGCAGGTTGCTTGAAATATTTAAGCCTGAGTTATCTAAGACGTTGCAAATAATATATGTGTCAGAGGAGCCGGGCTTGGATTTGCGGTTATATAAAGTCTGCCTGCCTTTTTTTTTATTTTTTATTTTTTATTTTTTTTGGTTATATAAAGACTGCCTGCCTTTTTTTTATATTTTATTTTTTTTTTTCTCTCTGTTGGTTCCTGGCCTCGTGATTATCTTTATCGCTGGGATGAACTCGGCCACTCGAGCTGCCGCCAATGACCCAGGAACAAGGCATGGGATGGAGAGGGTTGGTTGCACAGCTTGAGGTCCCCACAGAGACCTGCAGAGCACCCCTGGATGGTGGTGGGGATGGAGGCAGCCTCCTCTGGACCTGCTGGGAGGCTGTCGAGGATGGGTCAGGCTCAGATGAGACACTTCTTCCCTCCATCTTTGCAGCTTTGGGGCTTCCTGAGCTGGAGGTGGTTTGTGGGTGTGTGATGAGGCAGTGATTTTCTCATCCAGGAAGGTCTCTGATCTGCTTCTGAGCCCCTGCAAACTTTTAACCAGCCACAGACTGGGATGGCTGGGCGACCCAGTGGGTGAAGGAGGGCTTCTTTTGGTCTGAGCCCATCACTTCCTAACCCTCAGCTGACCCCCAGCCCTTCAGGGGATGTCTCGGGCAGCTGGGGTGGATCCCTCAAGCCCAAACTCCTCCAAGTCCACCCAGTGCCTAAACCTCCTCACTGCTGCTGGATCCTCTTAGCCAGAAATACTGGTTTTGATCTTGGTGCATGGAAGTGGCTCTTCCAACTGGTGCTCAGACATTGTCCCCCAATGCGGTGGGATCCTGGCAGGCATAGGCAGCGCAGTGCAATCACAGAATGGTTTGGGTTGTAGGGACCTTAAAGACCACCTAGTTCCATCACTCCTGCCACGGGCAAGGACACCTTCCCCTAGACCCTTTTTCCAATAGGCAAACAGGAGACTGACCATCCACCTCCTTTCCCAAAATACAAGCTCTCCATGGCCCCTGACTGCCTTTCATTGCCCTGATGGACCTCCGGGACTTCTTGTGCTTCATCCTCCACAGCACCTTGGCCACATCTGCCCCTTGCCCTTTCCCCGAGGACCACCTGGAGCAACTGAACCTTCATGGCATTGTGCCTGACCCTCAGCTCAGCGAGCTTTGGAGGGTGTTGACAAGCAAAAAAAGCCACCGGCTTCTCTTGACCTGGCCTTTACGAAGCGAAGGGATTTATTCTGGGCTCCTGGGAGGGAAGCAAAGAGGAGCAAACCCCCCCACACACCACCAAGGTCTCTGCATGCTCTGGGGTCACCTCCGTTGAGTGCGTTGGCCACGTTACAGCAACAAGATTTCCACTGCCCCAACCTCTGCCTCCGACTCCGGCGGCTCAACCAGCAGAGACGACGTCCTCGAGGACTTGCTGGAGCTCTCACCCGTGGTGCTGTAATTAGCCTACAAAGCCACCAGCTTATTTTCTTCAGCTGTCCTCCCCCCCCCGGTCTTTCTCCTTATCACAAGGATCAAAAGCACACATTGGAAAGGTCGCCCCCGCGAGCGATTGGCTTCAGCGCTCGAACGCCGCGGAGGGAAGACAAACAGACATGGACGGGATCAACCTTGGGAGAGCTGTGTCCTCCTTCTCCTCCCCCCTTCTCCCCCCGGCTTATTTTAGCTGCACCACACATTCGTTCCAAAACTAAACCCGTGAAGACTTGGGGGTTGGGGCTTTTGTCCTGCTTCTACTTGCGCGACCACGCACCGTTTCCAACAAAAAAGGGCTGTTTGGGCGATGTTTCAGAGAGATTTCGTGGCTTTTTTGGGGGGCTGCAGATGTGGAGATGAGGACGACGACGTCAGGGTTAATTCTCAGCAATTCCAGGAACAAGCTATTTGTCTTCCTTGGGGGTTGGACTAGATGATCCCCAGAGGTCCCTTCCAACCCCATATCATTGTGTGATTCCCATCCTCCCTCCTTGAACAGGACCACGACATGATGGCTGTTCGACCCCACAGAGACCCTCACCTTATGGCAGGGTCACAGCAAGACGCTTGGTGCCTGGTGATTAACAGCTCATTAAGACAAATAACTCAAACAGACAGATGGAGGAAGTCAAAACTCAAAAGGAGCAGCTTCACGGCTGAGGTTGCCACCACCCCTCCTGGGGTTATTATATCCATGGGTCATTGCACCTTCTCCAGGGTCAAGCAACCTCCTTGATGCAAAGCTGCTGGGTTTTTAACTCTTTCTGTGAAGCTATGGGAGATGTCTGCAGGAGGAGCAGGGGGATGGTTGGAGAAGCTGTTTGCAAGAGGGAGAGGTGCTGGCCTGGCTGAGATAGGACCATACATGGGGTCCCTCCAGCCTTGCCTGCATGGTCCTGAAGAAGGGACAAGGGCTGAAGGGTCTCTTCATTTCTGTTTTAGGCAATGGGGGTTCCTTCAAGTAGCCCTGGGACAGGACGCTGGTGGCCCTGGGAACAGGCTGAGGATGTCCTGATGCTGTAGTCACCCCCTTGAGCCCCTGCATGGTCCTGCCTGTCCCCTGCCCACTCGGACCCCCCGGGCCTTGCTGTCCTCAGCTCATCCGAGGGAGCTGCTTTTCTGAAAGTTCTTTCCCAAAGCAGGGATCCCTGCTCTGGTGTGGGGGACAATCACCAACCAACCCCCGTTTCTCTGGTTGTTGCAGGTCCTTGATCACCTCGAGGACCACCTAAGGAGATCCCAATACTTCCGATTCCTGTGGTTCCCTCACAGTGAGAACGTCAGTGTCATCTACCAGGACCCCACCAACAAGGCAGGTCCCACTGGGCTCCATATGGGAAGGGAGGACGGTCCATGGACAAGGCTGGGTGCCCTCCCAGAGCTGGTGTTTCAGGATAGGCTTCCAGTGCAAGAGTTGCATGAGGGGAGTTGGGGGTGGGGGGACTGTGGTCAGGGAAATGGCATTTTGGGTCTGGGGTGGGCTCTGCCCATGATCCACGATCTGGTGGTCCCGGGACACAGATACATCTGGGGGGCTGTCCAAGCTCTCAGCATCCTCACAGAACCATCTGGGTTAGAAGAGATGTCACCAGCTCCATTACCCTTCTCTGGACACACTCCAGCACCTCAGTGTGGGCTGGTTGTGGCCGTGTTTCATCAGGGGAGAGAGATCTGGGGAGTCCTAGGGTATCCTTCTCCAACCCCCTGCTCCCAGCTTGGTCCTGGTCCAGGCACATTGTCTCAACTTCATGCCCACTGGCAAGAAAGCTGCAAATCCGGGTAGTCCCTAATGACCATCATCTTCCTCTGCTTGGCTTTGCAGCCCCCCTCGTCCTCCGCCAGCTGGTTGTGGGACTATGCTATTGGCTATTATCTGCTGGAGTTTCTGCTCTGGATCAGGTAGGAACATGGTGGGGAGACATGGGGTTGGAGGGGTTTCTCCAGGGCTGGTCTCATCCAGATTGTTCTCTGCGTGTCTACATTGAAACCTCTGCTGCTTTGCTGGGGGCCCTGGGGACGATGGCAGAGGAGGACGGTGACCTGGAGCACCCCCATCCCTGGGGAAGGAGGAGATGCTTGCTCTCCTCCAAGCAAGCTCCAGTGCAGGAGGAGATTTGGGCTGGGATTGATGTCTGGGGCTGCACTGCCCTCTCGTGTGCACAGACATCACAGAACTACAGAATAATTACGGTTGGAAAAGAGCTTTCAGATCATCGAGTCCAATCATTAACCCAACGCTGCCCAAACCCATGTCCCTCAGCACCACGTCTGCCCGGCTTTGAGATCCCTCCAGGGATGGGGACTCCACCACTGCCCTGGGCAGCCTCTGCCAAGGCTTCACAACCCTTTCCATGAAGAAATTCTTCCCAATCTCCATCCTAAACCTCCCCTGGTGCAACTTGAGGATGTTTCCTCTTGTCCCATCACCTGTTCCAACCCTCGAGGAGTATCAAAGGGGAGGGAAGGTGATGAACCTGTTCCCTGAGGAGTATCAAAGGGGAGGGAAGGTGATGACCAAGGGCCCCTTTTCTAGCTTGAAGAAAGAGGAGGAGGAGGGAGCTGAGGGCAAGGGGTCCAAGATCAGGTGGGATAAACACAGGCGAGCTCCCAGTGGGGTTGCAAGGACCCCCGTTGGTTCCAGCACTCTTGGAGGATTGGAGGAGAGCTGGAGAGGACATCCCGTTGTCCAGCATCACAGGGCTGTGACAACTACCACTTGCCCCTGGCAAATCCCTGGGCGGCAGCTCTGGGCTCAGATCTCACCTTCTGCTCTCTCTGTCCTGCAGCACCTTTGTGCCCAGCTTGGTGTCTTGGATCAACCGCTTCTTCTTCTGGCTCCTCTTCAGCTCCCGGGTGGAGAACATCGCCATCAGCTACAAGATCTTCAATTACGAGTGTCGCTTCAAGCAGCACGTCCAAGACTGGGCCATCCCCATGTAAATGTCTCTGCAGATCCTCCTTGTCCATCCCCAGCTGGGCTCAGTGCCCAAAACACATGCCATCTCCAGCTTGTTCTCTGCCTGGAGCAGGAGCAAAGCCGTGGAGACAGGGACCTGGCTAGGAGGCACCATTCCTACCTGCCAGCTTAGCATAGGGACCCTTCTGCTTCCCTGCCCTGGGCTACCAAATCCACACCACACCATGTCCTGGTGCTCTGTGAGCCCAAAGGCATGGGAGGGTTGTGTTGGGACGCATCAAGCCATTTCCTGGATGAGCATGGGGCCAGGGATGGAGCTGTGGGGATGGGGGTTCAAAGAGAAGCTTGAAGGGAGGTGGCTCTGCCCATGCTGGCATTAACTGGGGCTGGGGGCTTCTCCTGGGCAGTGAGAAGACCAAGGAAGCTTTGCTGGAGCTGAAGGCCGCCTTGGAGAACAACCCCAAGATGGTGGCTCACTACCCCGTGGAGGTGCGCTTCGCTCGGGGGGATGAGATCTGGCTGAGTCCCTGCTACCAGCGGGACAGCTGCTACATGAACATCATCATGTACAGGTGAGCCGTGTCCCCATCCCCACCCCACCTCTTCCCTTCCTCGTCAGGTCAGTGCCCTGGTCCCCCAGGAGCCATGTTCAGAGACCCGGCTCCAACAAAGACATCCACACCAGGTCTCAGCTGGATCTGGAGAGCTGGATGGAACTATCTCCCGCACCTTTGGCCGCTGACCCCACTCAGATATTTGCAGGCACCAAGCCAGAAGGGATGGGGTGGCCTTGGAGCACCCTAAAGCCACCCACCCCTGCTTCTTGAGGGTGTTGTCTTATGTCAGCATCCACTGGACAAGTGCTGGTGGCATGCTGGTTCCCAGAGCATTTCCATCACCTGGTCAAAGAGCCCATGATGGGTGCATGGGGTAGTCCTTCTCCCCAGGTGGAGGTTTCTCAGGGAGGTTTTCTGGGTGTGCAAATCCCCCCACAGCCCCAGCTAATGTCCTCCCCGCTCAATGTCCCCCAGGCCCTATGGGAAGAACGTCCCCCGCCTCAACTACTGGCTGACCTATGAGGGCATCATGAAGAAGCACGGTGGGAGACCACACTGGGCAAAGGTACCGATGGCTCTGCTTCTTCGGGAGGAGAGAGTTGGTGGAAGGGGGTCCCTTCCCCTTCTCCATCATGGCTCCTTATGGGAGGGAGGGTTTGCAGTTGAGTGGGGGTCAGAGAAGGTCCCAGAGGGAGATGGGTGCCCTGAGGAGATGGTGTTCCGCTGTTTGCTATCCACCCTGGGCACGTAGATAAGGGGATGGAGGTCCTACCATGTCTGAAGGGGCTTCCCACAGCACGTGGTGGTGGGGGTCCAGGGCCAGTGACACGTTTCCCAGTGATGGGCAGTCCCCCCAATCACTTTGTCTCCTGCAGGCCCACAGCTGCACCCGGAAGGACTTTGAGAAGATGTACCCAGCCTTCCCCAAATTCTGCTCCGTCCGGGAGAAGCTGGACCCCACAGGGATGTTCCTGAATGCCTACCTGGAAAAGGTGTTCTACTGATAGGGGCAAGGTGAGAGATGGAGAAAAAAACCATCATCCTCAGTTCTTGGGACACCCTAAAGCTCATGGTCCTCTGTGGTCCCAAGGTCCTGCACCCCCAGTCCTCATCTGCTGTGACAGCAGCCCATGGGCAGGGTCATGCTCTGACCTTGATGCTCTACAGTGCCTGGAAGTCTCTCCTGGAAACCAGCAGCTCTGGAAGAACCATGTCCCTGTGTCCCCAAGATCTGTACAGCCCCAAGTGCCTCCTGTCCATCCAACACCTTAGTAAAGGCCTTTCTTTGAGCAGATCTTGTCTGAGCCTGTGCTTTCAGGTTGGGCATGCGTCCAATGGAGATGCCTGGCCCTGGGACATCTCAAGTGTTGTGTCCAGTTTTGGGCCCCTCACAACAAGAAAAACCTTGAGGTGCTGGAGCTTGTCCAGAGAAGGGCAATGGAGCTGGTGAGGGGTCTGGAGACCAAGGAGAAGGGTCTGGAGAACTTCTGAGGAGCTGGGGGTGTTCAGCCTGGAGAAAAGGAGGCTGAGGGGAGACCTTCTCACTCTCTCCAACTCCCTGAAAGGAGGGTGTAGCCAGGGGGGGTCAGTCTCTTCTCCCAAGGAACAGGTGATGGGACAAGAGGAAACAGCCTCAAGTTGCCCCAGGGGAGGTTTAGGATGGAGATTGGGAAGAATTTCTTCATGGAAAGGGTTGTGAAGCCTTGGCAGAGGCTGCCCAGGGCAGTGGTGGAGTCCCCATCCCTGGAGGGATTTCAGGACTTCTTGAAAGGACTTCTTGGTCACCACCTTGGAGAGATTTCTGATATCTGAAGTCGACCATGCTCAAATACAGAAAATTAAGGGCTTGTTTTACTCTAATCTGCTAATTCTTGTAAATTATGGATTATTTTTTTTTTTTCAGAATTAATTCATTGTTATTTGTCTGTCTTTTGAAGGAACTCCTCCGTGTCCCCTAATGAGCTCAGGCACTCGTTACCGCCGTCCTCTCCCATCAGTAGGTGGCACACTCAGAAAATGAAAAAGTTAAAAACCCCAGAATGCAGAGGTCACTCGGCGATTGCTTTAGGAAGACGCCTTAATTACTTGATGAGTTAGTTCTGAAAACGGGCTGCTGGGGCCACTCAGCCAAACCTCGGCAGGGAAGTGTCCTGGAGATGTGTCACCTCCCACACAGCAGCGTGTTCTGTTTGAGAAAACCATGTTTTTCGTTCCCAAACAGCACAAATGTCCCTCCTTCCATTGTGGGGCTGGACCTCAGTGTGACAGTCACCGTGTCACCAGCGGATGGTGGGAGGCAAAGTGGGGCAGGAGCCCACAGGAGGATGCAAATCATCCTCAGCAAGGGATGAGAATGGGGCCAGAGGAGGCCACAGAGATGCTGGGAGGGGGGGCTGAGAGAGTTGAGGGGGTCAGCCTGAAGAAGAGAAGGCTCTGGGGAGACCTTGGAGCCCCTTCCAGTCCCTCAAGAAGGGGGGCTCCAGGAAAGATGGTGAGGGACTCTGGCTGAGGGAGGGGAGCCCTAGGAGGAGGGGGAAGGGTTGGACCCTGCAAGAGGGGAGATGGAGCTGAGCTGTGGGGAAGAACTTGTTTGGTGGGAGGGTGGTGAGAGCCTGGCCCAGGTTGGCCCGAGAAGCTGTGGCTGCCCCATCCCTGGAGGGGTTCAAGGGCAGGTTGGAGGGGGCTTGGAGCAACCTGGTGTGGTGGGAGGTGTCCCTGCCCAGGGCAGGGGGTGGCAATGGGGGGGGTTTAAAGGTCCCTTCCCACCCAAACCACTCCATGATTCTGTGATTCATGTCCTTGGTCCCCCCGTGCCTCAGTTTCCCCGTGGGCACAGCGGGGGGACAAACTCCTCTCCCTTTTCTGGGGGCTGGGATTGCTCCTGCCTGCTC